TCTTAATGAAATCCCTACTTAGCACATTTGATGGGAACCCTTGCCTACTTAACCATTTACGCCAGCATTTTGATTACTTTGTGCAAACATATATGTCCCCCGAAATGAAAAAGTACAATAAAAAACTCTTTCATGGTTAAGTTCAAAAGAGACAACATGAAAAGTCTAATGGACTATAGCAAGTTCTTGGTTTTCAATTCCATATTTAAAATTTAATACAAACATAGATATTATATCATTTCTTGATTAAAATTTGAAACTGAAATTAGAAATACTCGATTTGAGGAGTAAAAAGGACAGAATACTTGCATAACAACATTAATAACAATACATTACAAAGAAAATATTGCTTCTTTAACTAAGCTTGGCAAGAACATTATTTAAACTCGAGATAATTTTGTGACTCAACATCTGGACTGCTCTTTGACTTTACCGTATAATCCAATTTTCACACAAGAAACAACAATGTTAGATCAATCTAAACATTAGAAAGAATTTTGTGCATTAAAACACTTTAACTTATTCACCAAGAAACGAGGAGAAAACAAAATCCTAAAGAAGAAAAAAATTTATGTTATTGATGGTTTCGAAGAGCTTGCCGGTGAATTATTTGAAACTCTATTTCTCTTCCTTAAACCTAGTGGGATCATGGTATTAAAGATCAACACGGATATATGATGCTCTCAAATGGAGGTTGTTCTAAACGTAAGACCAAATTTTTTTGTCGATCAATGTCTTAACGTTAATGATCTCTTTAACAGATACTTTGGCCATATCTGCAGCTTCTCTTGGTGACAATGGCTGCAAGTACCATTGAAAAGTTTTTGCTTGGTCTGAGTTATCTGTCCTAGTTGTTCTCACACACACAAATCAAAACCACATTCAATCAAACTGAACATAAAAGTATAACCAAATACTAGAATCAAATTAACCATTTTTTCTCCAACAAAACTCTCCACAAAACTGTAACTTCGAATCTTGCACAATTGGTTTTTTGAACGAGATTAGAGATCTAAAATCGAAGTTGTAGAGAGAGAAGTATGTAGAGAGAGAAGTACGGCCGCCGATCGATCTATATTGTTTTAAAAACTTTGTTATAATATATATATATATATATATAGTTTCAGAAGGGTTTAAAGGATTAAGGGTTGTACTTGTGGCCGCATAAATCAATTAGATTAGTCAAAAATATGAGTAGGTGAAATGATTAAATTAATATTAGTTTAAAAAAAAAACTAGGATCAATTTTTTGTGATTTTATGCTAGTTACTTTTTTTAGTAAATTGAATATTCTTATAATATAAATTTGAATTTGAAAATGTAGATTTTAAAAAAATGAAAATCAGATAAAAATTAGATTATATTAATTAGTTAATTTCATAAAGGATAAATATATAAGGAGCAAAGAGTAACCAACTATTATAACTCTAAACTAAAGTCTAACTTGCTTCATCAATTTATAATATGATAATAATTAAATTGACGATGAGATATTTGTAAGAAACTAAAATGAAAACAAAACTATTAAATGTTAAAAAGGAAATTTGATATTATACAAAAATCAATTTAATTATACTAAAATCAGTTCTTATGGACAAAAAAAAATTAAAAGTAAATTTAAATTAGAGACGGTCATTGTGTATCCTTTTCATGAACGGAACACTAGTGAATATTATCCAAATCTTCAAATCCTAAAAGAAGAAAGATTATCATTTATCGAACGTCCGGCTCTTATATAAACACTCTTATGGAGTTATGGGCTCACCTTTCTCACCAAACAAACTCAATACTCTTCCATAATCTCTCTCAAACGTATTGTCTCTCTTTATTCAAAAAAAGAACAAGAACCAAATCATCAACCATGGCTTTGATCAAGAGCAAATCCTTCTTCAATTCTTCGCTGATTTTTGTGGCACTTCTTGGTGTTGCCGTCGGAGGAACCGTTCACAAAGTCGGCGACGCAAACGGATGGACCATGATGGGGGTTGGTTACGAGGCTTGGGCTTCTTCAAGAACTTTTCAAGTAGGAGACTCTTTGGTTTTCGAATACAACAACGAGTTCCACGACGTTACACAAGTCACTCCCCATGATTTCGAGCTGTGCGATCCGTCTAAACCGCTAGCAAGATACCAAACCGGCTCTGACACGGTGGCTCTAACCAAACCGGGATTCCAACACTTTATATGCGGAGTTCCTGGTCACTGCGACATAGGACAAAAGCTTGACATCCTCGTCTTCCCGGCCTCGTTGGGTCCCGTGGCTGCTCCGGTTCCTGGACCGGTCAGGTCACCAAGCTCCTCTCCGTCTCCTTCACCTTCTCCGTTAGCTGATTCATCTACTAATGCTCCACAGTATCAGATGTCACCATCACCTCTTTGAAGCGGTGACTCGAAGTCTTCAGCTTCTTCTTAGCATTCTTGTTTGGTCTATTAGTATTAAGAACTTGTTTTCTTAGTTGAACAGTGAAATACCATATTACTTTATTGTTGCCATTACTTGAATCAATTAGGTTTTGTTTCCTCGTAATTCTTTTTTGTCTTTAATAAATAGTGCAAATCCCTTATTTTTCTTTGTGAAAAAATATAAGCGGTGCCAATCACCATAATATTACTTAAATTAATTAAAATAATATTCAATGGCAAATTATTGGTCCAAACGTGAAATAATGTTGCACACCCAATAAGCTAAGATCTATGACCAATAATGTATTTTTGATTTCATATTTTTGTGGTTCTTCTAGTGTTGTTGAGTAACTTTATTATACGTTCCAACTCTTATCGTCTGCTGACTAAAATGTATATAGAATTTATCTGTGCTTACAGTTTGTTATATCTAAATGGTTTCTTGAATTATTTTTTAATCATCAATGGACTTGCTTGCAATGTATCTTGTGATAAGAATTCTGAATCATTATCGTATATGCTTATTCAACTTTAGCGGGAGAAATATTACAAAAGTTTCTTACAAATTTTAAGAATTAGTTTTGACTTTTTGAGAGAATCCTCTAAAGATCTTTGCACTGGGTAATGAAGTTTAGGAAAATTGGCAGAGGAGTATGGAAAACCAAAAAAACGAATCGTAACCAAACGGAAACCGGATTAAACTAAACTAAAAAACAAATTATTTTTATGATTTAGTTTAATTTCTTAAAAGAACCAAAAAGAGTGAAAATGTAAAATTTAAAGAATCGTACGCCAATGATAGTAGCCGATCCCAATCTCTGTGAAGTTTGAACAATTTGATTTTTCTCTCTTAATGAAATCCACACTTAACACAATTATGGGAACCTTTGCCTAGTTAACCATTTACACCAGCATTTTGATTACTTTGTGCAAACATATATGTCTCCGGGAAGGAAAAAATAAAATAAAAAAACTCTTTCATGATTAAGTTTAAAAGAGACAACATGAAAAGTCTAATGGACAAGAGCAAGTTCTTGGTTTTCAATTCCATATTTAAAATTTAAGACAAACATAGATATTATATCAATTCTGACTAAAATTTGAAACTAAAATTAGAAATACTCGATCTGAGGAAGTAAAAAGGACAGAGTACTTGAATAACAGCATTAACAACAATACATTACAAAGAAAATCTTGCTTGTTTAACTAAGCTTGCCAAGAATTTTCTTTAAACTTGAGATAATTTTGTGACTCAACATCTGGGCTGCTTTTTGACTTTACCATATAGTCCAATTTTCTCACAAGAAACAACAATCTTAGATCAATCTAAACATTAGAAAGATTTTTATGCATTAAAATACTCTAACTTATTTACCAAGAAACAAGAAGAAAACAAAATCCTAAAGAAGAAAAAATTTACGTTATCGATGGTTTGGAAGAGCTTACTGGTGAATTTTTTGAAACTATATTTCTCTTCCTTAAACCTAGTGGGATCATGGGATTAAACATCTGAACGTAAAACCAAATTTTTTTGTCAATTAATGTCTTAACGTTAATGATCTCGTTAACAGATCATTTGGCCCTATCTGCAGCTTCTGTTGGTGATAATTGCTGCAAGTACCAATGAAAAGTTTTTGCTTGGTCCGAGTTTTTTATCCCAGTTGTTCTCACACGCACAAATCAAACCACATTCAATCAAACTGAACATAAAAGTATAACCAAATGCTAGAATCAATTTAACTATTTTTCTCCAACAAAACTCTCCATAAAATCGTAACTTTGAATCTTCCACGATTGGTTTTTTGAAAGAGATTAGAGATCTAAAATGGAAGTTGTAGAGAGAGAATACGTCTGCCGATCGATCTAGAGTTAAAGGATTAGAGGTTGTACTTGAGGCCGCATAAATTAATTAGATTAATCAAAAATATTAGTAGGTGAAATAATCAAATTAATATTAGTTTAAAAAATAATCAGGATCATTTTTTGTGATTATATGCTAATTACTTTTTTTAGTAAATTGAATATTCTTATAATATAAATTCAAATTTGTAAATATAAATTTTTAAAAAACAAAAATCAGTTAAAATTATATTATATTAATTTGTTAATTTCATCAGGGGTAAATCAGTTTTTTTAGATAAAAAGCAAAGAAAAATCAACCATTATAACTCTAAACTACAGTCTAACTTACTTCATTAATTAATAATATGACAATAATTAAATTGACGATGAGATATTTCTATATAGTAACTAAAATAAAAACGAAACAATTAAATGTTAAAAAGGAAATTTGATGTTGTACAAAAATCAATTTAATTATACAAAAATCAGTTCTTATGGAAAAAAAAATGAAAAGTAAATTTAAATTAGAGACGGTCGTTGTGTATCCTTTTCATGAATGGAACACTAGTGAATATTATCCAAATCTTCAAATCCTAAAAGAAAAAAGATTATCATTTATCGAACAACCGGCTCTTATATAAACACTCTTACGGGCTCACCTTTCTCACCAAACAAACTCAATACTCTTGCATAATCTCTCTCAAACGTATTGCCTCTCTCTATTCCAAAGAAGAACAAGAACCAAATCATCAACCATGGCTTTGATGAAGGGCAAATCCTTCTTCACTTCTTTGCTGATTCTTGTGGCACTTCTTGGTGTTGCCGTCGGAGGAACCGTTCACAAAGTCGGCGACGCAAACGGATGGACCATGATGGGGGTTGGTTACGAGGCTTGGGCTTCTTCAAGAACTTTTCAAGTCGGAGACTCTTTGGTTTTCGAATACAACAACGAGTTCCACGACGTTACTCAAGTCACTCCCCATGATTTCGAGCTGTGCGATCCGTCTAAACCGCTAGCAAGATACCAAACCGGCTCTGACACGGTGACTCTAACCAAACCGGGATTCCAACACTTTATATGCGGAGTTCCTGGTCACTGCGACATAGGACAAAAGCTTGACATCCTCGTCTTCCCGGCCTCGTTGGGTCCCGTGGCTGCTCCGGTTCCTGGACCGGTCAGGTCACCAAGCTCCTCTCCGTCTCCTTCACCTTCTCCGTTAGCTGATTCATCTACTAATGCTCCACAGTATCAGATGTCACCATCACCTCTTTGAAGCGGTGACTCGAAGTCTTCAGCTTCTTCTTAGCATTCTTGTTTGGTCTATTAGTATTAAGAACTTGTTTTCTTAGTTGAACAGTGAAATACCATATTACTTTATTGTTGCCATTACTTGAATCAATTAGGTTTTGTTTCCTTGTAATTCTTTTTTGTCTTTAATAAATAATGCAAGTCCCTTATTTTTCCTTAGTGAAAAAATATAAGCGGTGCCAATCACCATAATATTACTTAAATTAACTAAAATAATATTCAATGGCAAATTATTGGTCCAAACGTGAAATAATGTTGCACACCCAATGAACTAAGATCTATGACCAGTAATGTATTTTTGATTTTCAAATTTTTGTGGTTCTTCTAGTGTTGTTGAGTAACTTTATTATATATTCCAACTCTTATCGTCTGCTGACTAAAATGTATATATAATTTATCTGTGCTTACAATTTGTGATATTTAAATGGTTTCTTGAATTATTTTTTAATCATCAATTGACTTGCTTGCAATGTGTAGGTTTATGAGATTTTGTGTCTCGTGATAAGAATTATGAATCATGATCGTATATCCTTATTCAATTTTAGCAGGAGAAATATTACAAAAGTTTCTTACAGATTTTCAGGATTAGTTTTGACTTTTTGAGTTTTCGAAATATTTCTTTCTCTAACTTCTCTCTCTCTTTCTCTCGTGATAAAATTGAAATCGAAACCCACTTTTCTTATTCAATTTTTACTGTGAGTCTCGTCCATCGGTTGTTCCGATCCTTAGGGGATAGCAATGACGGTTTTTGTCCATTGAACAGTTTTTCAAACGATTATTCTTTTCCTTCTTTCACATCCGGGAACAGAGGAAAACCGCCATGGCTTCACTACTATATATGTGTCTTACGCTCATCGTTACTGTATAATTGTTACTCTGCTTTCTTTCCTTATGAGTGACAACATCCGCAGAAAAATGCAGGATATCGATTTGGGGCATTCTGAATCCCCAATAGCATTACCCCAATCCATTTGCTATGAAGCGGTTTAAGCGAACCGTTATGCAATCATTGGCACCCTCCTTAACCCCAAACGACAGAATCTCCGCGCTCTGATCACTACGATGCCTCGACTATGGGGTTTAAGCGATGCTACCATTGGACGAATCTTGGATACCAAAAAATTCCAGTTCGTGTTTCAATCAGAGGAAGCCGTGAATCTACTACTTCAAAGGGGGCCATGGTCTTTCAATGAATGGATGATTGTCACGTGACGCTGGTCACCAACAATTACTGACGAAATGCTCAAAATCATACTGTTCTGGATCCAACTCAGGGGCATCCCACCACAGTTTCTCAACCGTGCTCTCATTGAGTATATTGCCCGTAAATTGGGTATGATGGTGGACATTGACTTTAATGAAGCGGTACAAGTAACTGATTTTGTGTGCATCAAACTCGCTTGGAACATTGACACACCTCTCGTCTTCCAGCGTCTCTTCCAGTTCGTGCTAGGTGAGAACACAATCCTCAAACTCCGCTATGAAAGACTATGCAATTTCTGCTTAAAATGTGGTCTTCTCACTCATGAGACTAAAGAATGCCCCTTGCTTTACGACACGGAGGATTCTCAAGACGACCCTCCGGATCCTCCAATTGATGATGAAACACAGACAGCCGGTAACACAATCTCCAACCCATCGAACAATCCTTTGGAACCTCTAACTGCCGCTGCTGAGAATAGCGATGCTGAATCGAAAGGGTGCCATGAAAATGCACCTTTTGAAATAAAGGATGATACAGACATGGTATCCGAAACATGGCGTTATCTTTTTGCCAAGTTGGAGAGGGGTAAATTTACATAAGGCAATTTTACCGCTTTGCTAAAGGATTATCTCGATCAACACTCTGGTTTTGATGAAACGAAGCACAACAAGCTCGAAGCAATGCTTCGCAAATTTGACAATGCCGAGTCAAGCTTCATGGCGGCTTTGTATCATAGAGGATTCACAGACGATACATTCACCCCAATACCCGGAATCACAACGAAAACTGCCATCCCTCACAACCACTAATACTCTGATATGTCTTCTGAGTTTGATGCTTTTGTATGCCCTGAAGAACGCCCATCTCCTGCCAAACGCAAAAGTAATGATGAGAGGTACGACACAGACCCTACCTACAAGCTCTCCTACGACTTCCTAGAAGAGTTTGCAACACATAAACGTCAAGCGGCCACCCCTCTTATTACCAACGATCAGAAGGCCCTGTTTCCGATCAAGTTAGAGAGTGATGATGATCAAGAACACTCCTACAGCGTTGATCAGACAAAACACAAGAACAACGGAGGTCCTGTGTCTCAACGTCTCTGAAGAACGCCCTTCGGACAATCTCCTGGAATTGTCAAGGATTAGAATCGCCTCTGACAAAACAAAGATTGAAGGAGATGTGTCGTAAGATTCAACCAGATTTACTATTTCTAATCGAAACAATGAATAAGTGTGATGTAGTGAGAGATGTTTGCTCTCTATTAGAATTTGATTTCTCTTCTACTATTCCTCCACAAGGTCATAGCGGTGGTTTGGCTTTGTTCTAGAAAAAGACATATCTATTACTACTTTGTACCAATCGATCCGTATGATCGATGTTTCAATCAATTTCAATGGTATGAATTTCTATTTGTCTTGTGTCTACGGACATCCAAATCGCTCACTTTGTAATGATCTTTGGGAACGGATAGAACATATAAATCAAACACGATATGGACCTTGGCTTCTTCTTGGTGACTTGAATGAAATCTTAACTGATACAGAAAAGCTAGGGGGTGCTCGTCGTTCTGAACAACCGTTTCAGAGTTTTCGGAATATGTATAATTCCAGCGATTTTACTGATTTGCGTCGTAAAGGAAACAGAATGTCTTGGCGTGGAAACAGGGGACACCATAGAGTCCGTTGTTGCTTAGACCGAGTCATTGCAAATTCTCAATGGCTATCTCTGTTTCCCGGTTCAGTTGCAGAATTCTAACGTTTATGCGCCTCCGATTGATAGGGCTCAAGTTTTACCCAAATAAAACTATTGCAAGTGCACAGCAAAAACAGTTGTAGTACAAGGGGTATCGAATCCCAAAGGAGTAATGCAAACTACACTATCGAATGTAGGTTCAGATTAAACTAAGCAGAATGTAATGTATGTAATGCAAATGATAAAATAAAGTAAGCAAGCGAAATTCAAGTTGTTGATCTATGTTTCAGAAGATTAAAAGCGCTAAGTCAGGACAGTTCGCAGGTTGAATCCAAGAATGTGGAATGCATGAAATCACGAATGATTAAGAACCGTTTTGAACATGAATATCAAATATATAACTAATCAATTCTCATTGCAGAAGTTAACTATGTCTAAATCACAGAGTTTCAAATCTCTTTGCAAATCCTAACAACCTAAACAAAAATATGATCAGATTCAATTGTTCACAAAACTCCTAAGCCAAATCTCTTTGCACTAAGTTGTTTTGCTCATTAAATGCTAGTTCAGGTTATCAATAATGCTCTCACATATATTTAACAACCTATGATTTTCGAATTTCTACATGATGTGTCTAAGAAATTCGATTTTAAAGCAAGCAGAGATGAAAAACCAAAAGATATTCCTAACAGGTAGCAATTCTACAAACCCTTCATCAACCTTTGAAAAAGCCCTAACTTAACTAGCAGATTACTCAGACATGATCATTGAATCACAAAACATAACTGAATAAAATTGCATTAAGAGAAAAAGTAAAAGAATAAGAGGGTTCGAAATCTTCTCAAAAGAGTACAAGATCTGTCTCCCCAGAAAGCTCTGAATAAATCTCTTTTAATTCTAAAATCTAAGATAAAAGCCAACAATGGTTGAAAAACCTAATAAATAGAGGCTAAACGCGATCTGGGGCTTTCTTGTAAATATTGGAACTCCTGGACTAATTCTACAAATAGTCTTCTTACTATTAATAAATCAGGCCACACTCCTTCCTTCATGGGTGACGAGCGTCACCAAGAGTGGTGATGAGCGTCACCATATCGCATACCTTCTCCTCTGAGCTAGGTACATCGTGGCTTCAACTTGCAATGCTCCAAAAAGCTTCAATATCCCCAATTATGCTCCAGACATGCTATAACCTGCAAAAATTCTTCTATGACTCTAAAAAGACCAAAAAGACTCAATAAAAAAGACTTATATCATGGTTAAAAACCATAAAAACTATGATATATCACCGATCATCGACCGGTTGTTATTTCAGTCGATTTTCTTCACCATTAAGCACCAAAGCAATTCTGCTTTGACAAAATGTTGCTACATCATCCAAATTTCAAAGATAAAATACGTCAGAGTTGGTTATCCACACCGCACATTCAATGCCCTTCCCTTACTACTCGTCTTTGTCATATCCGAGATGTTATCCTATTCTCGAAATGAGTTTCAGACAAATTCAGCTAAACAGATTGATTCTCTTCAGTTAAAAGTTGATTTCGCCCTTACTTCGACGCATCAAACAACATACTCCATACCAACGTTACAACAAGACTTAGCAAAGGCTTATCGTGATGAAGAAACCTTTTGGCATATGAAAAATCAGAATTCATGGCTTCTTCATGGTGATCAGAACACAGAGTTCTATCATGCTGTAGCCGAATCTCGATACACAAGAAATAGAATCCATTCCATTACAGACAATGAGGGCCATATACTTTACGGAGATAAAGATATTGGGATACACGCTGAAGACTATTTTCATGACATGTATAAATCACAAACAACTAATCCCTCCTCTGCCATCTTTCATAATTTCAGACCTACTGTCACCACTGAAATCAATCAAAATATAACCCGCCCAATCACAACAACAGAAGTCTTCGAAGCTGTTTTTAGCATATGAGCTGATAAAGCGCCCGGACCTGATGGTTTCACGGCGAGATTCTACCAAGAATGCTGGGATATCGTTGGCGACAATGTCACTTCACAAGTTTTACAATTTTTCAGTACAGCAATAATGGAAGAAGGGATCAATCATACTAATATTTGTATGATTCCTAAGACAAAATCTCCAACGACTCTCTCAGATTTTCG